GAGTTGAAACACGAAAAAGTTCCCAAGAGGCCAGTCTTCCAGGACTCCTACCCCTAAGCCCTTAAATGAACGGTTCGAAACCTGCTGGGGTTGCGGAAAAGACTATAAAGTAAGAGTCAAGATGGCTGCATGGAATAACCTTTGACAAAAAATTCAGATAAAAGTCAAGATTTCCTTCCAATTTATCGTGTTTAAACTGATTAGCATTTCCTGTTACACCATATTAAAGTTAAAATATTCACAATCCTTCCCGCCTGACCACAGCCTTTGGGCTGTTTAAGCTAGGTTTGAGTGTCATGGAAACACATACCCTGAGGGTCGAGGCATGAGCCACTTTCGGCTTGGCTCAATTGACTTTGCCATTTATTCTCTCTTCCTTCTTTTTGTCACACCAGTGTTGAGTTAGTTGCGTGTCTAGCCGAATTTTAGGGCATCCTCTAAGATGATATCTTGTCTTTTTTCACCAGACTGGGAAATGTGAGAAATGTTTCAGAATTTTAGGGATGGAATTATGAATTGTGAGAAAATTAAAAATTTTTGGCTTGTCATTTTAACTTACATTTTTCATAAGAATGGCAAGCCCTCATTCTATGCATACTGCTGTTAATGCGTATCAGAATGAGTTTTTCGTAAAAATTCCATTTTTGATGCATAGTTGAATATGTTAGCTTGCCGCAGGGATTAAGTCCGAAAGCTGGTCTTCAATAGTGTCCAAAAACAGTTAATAGAATTGTTGACAATCTTCCCCTTAAGTATCAGCGAGAGCTCGCCTCTCAATTGAGCCGCCCACAGGCTTTGCTTTGGCGATCTATTTCACCATATATTTGATATGAAAAAGTAAACTTTGAGTCATTATGCTATTAATTATCCACCATTAAACTCAGCCTTAGTTACGACAAGGAGTGGATGACGAAGTTATCCTTAAATCCTATTTAAGGATGAAAGCCCTCCACTGGTGGCTAGACGCTGTAGAGATGCAATGGGTAGATTTAAGCTAACACTTCATTTTGCTAAGGAATTATAATTGTTGAGCTTAATTCCATTTCGAGGAGAAGTGTTTGGTGAAGAGATTTAAAGTTCGATCTCACCAGAAGACGACGACGGATTACTCTTGACTAGCTATCGATTGGCTTTACTGGAACATTCTCGTTGACACTGCTTCCGAGGCAGTCTTCTTTTCTCAATTCATTAGTTTGAATATGGTTGTAAGGATGATACCTTTCTCTGATGATTTCCGTCACATCACGAACGAAAACTTAGCATGTTTTCACCGGAATCGAAGGAGACTGCCTCGGAAACAGTATCAACAAGAATGTTCCATTAAAGCCAATCGGAAGCTGGTCAAGAGGAATCCGTCGTCGTCTTCTGGTGGGATCGACCTTTGAATCTTTTCACCAAACACTTTCATTCGAAATGATGAAACAAGAAATTCCCCAAAGCACAACTTTTCTTTAGTTTGGAATTATATCCTACCTCCTGTATTTTCATACTGAACTGTAATCGCGCAAGGTAATGAAGATATGATTTGTTAATATTCCCACTAACTTAACTTGACTTAAGCAGTCCAGGATGGACTGTAGTCTCAAACCAACCCGAGTCTCACCGACATCCGCTCGCCCGCGAATCGAAGAAGAAAGGATACCTTTGTTGGGGCAAGACATCGTTAGTTCTATGCATAACTTGGCGGGAAACTTAAACTCTCAGGCCTTCATCATCCTCTGCGGCCAAGATTGACCCAAGTTGTTGCGCCACAGCTGCCTGTAACATCAAAGCCTACATAATGGAAGTTCTGATCATGCTATCCGAGGAGTCTCATGGGCAAGGCAGAAACCGTAGTTCAGTCGGGGCAAGAAGACAGAGCCGATGGAAGGTTAGTAGTCAAAGTTAAGGTGCCTTGACGATTCATTTTGAGTAGATCAAGTAACGGGTAAAAAATCTCAAGGATGCTGCCAAGTTGGCGGTAAGACCTGCGATGGTTACTGGGTCTGATTTACATCCGAAAGACGTGGTCTGGAGGAAGTGTCTTTAAGAGTTAATCGTATGCTACGCAGCGAGTTCACGTAGAACACGGCATTGTAGATATTTTTTACAGGGCCATCCGCCTTTGGAGCACAAATGTTTATGCAGACAGACACGTCAAGTGACAGAAACTGACCAAGAGGTGTTCCAAGATTGGGGCCTAAACAGGGGAAAAGCGAGCCCATCTTGCCCCAGAAGACAAGATCCTTCAAGCTACACATGCGGTGTCAAGACGGAGGCTTGGAAAGGAGTGGCCACCACAGCCGTTACGGTCAATTCTGCATTCAAGGACCTCTTGAATGGAGAGGAAAGCCCACTCGTGCACCCAAGCATACGGACCTCCACAGCGTCGGCCCAACAATGAGCGAAATTATGCCCGTAAAGCAGCCAGAGGTGAAGTTGAAGATGAAGTGTCAATAAAAGTGAAGAAGCATAATTCAAGGGGGCCAGAACAAGACAGAGTAAAGGCATATCCTCAGGCTCAGCTTATTCTCACAAAGGCCAAATAGGGATTAGACAAATTCGCTGTTAAGCCGGACTTCGTAGGCAACAGTTTAGCGGGAGATAAATTGCAAATATTTGTATGGCGTAGACGCAGGCTCACATCAACCAGGTGAAATAAAGTCCAGTTCCCTCCATCAACCCATACCTTCCCACACTCCTCAAATTGGTACCTGGGTGCCTACCTCTTAGGCAAGCGGTAAATCTTGGCTCGAGAAGTGGCCTCCTCTGCTAAGTTGGGGTGGATGTGCTGAATAGAGCCTCACCTATCGCAGGCCGACTAGGCCCGGTAGCACTCATCTGGAGTGACCTAATTCATGATTCATTCAAAATGCGGCCGAAAGGTACCCTTTACGTTGATTTCTCT